GTGCCACTCCGATAGGCACGACTTTCCAGGTGTTGCATTCCTGCAGCGCCTTCAACTCTTTGTCCATGGCTTCACGCCATTTTTCCCTGTGTTCCCCCCCCAGAGCCTGCTGAATGGTAGCAGGCTCCTTAGGTGGTGCTGCTCCGTGGACAGCGGTGACGAGTCCCAGTATCTGCAGGCCACTCTGTGTGTAGCGGGGGAGATTTGTGTCCTCTGGATAAGCTGCTTCGTCTCCTGCTTCAGGGTCTGGTAAGAAATTCGGTCGTATGCGTTCGGAGATGTTGGTGTCGACCGGTTGGGGTGTTACGTAACCAGTGTCAGCGAGATCGAAGTAAGTTTCGGCGTTGACACTTTCGCGAGGATTTTTGTCATCCATTGGGATGGGCACGGAGCAGTATGGGAGTGGTCTTGCTTCCTCGGATGCGTTGTCCACGTTTTGCTCGTCCCAGTCAGCTTCGTCTGCTGCTGAAGCGAAGGCTCGGTTGCCACGGAAGCCGCCCGTGAGATCTCGATTTGCTGCCAGGTTGTCTAGGTACGTTTGAAGTGTGAGTCGCTCGTAGAAGATGACATCACGTGCTGCTACTGTTTCCTTCGAGTGGACGTAAAAAATCTTCCATGCGTTGTAATGCTTTTCGATGCCCAGGTGTAGTCCCCACTGTGAGCGTTGAGAAAATCTGCCGGCTCTTGCAGTGTGCGGGCGGTACTATACCATGCACCCGAAAACTCGTAACATTTTTGTGTTGCCCAGCTTTCCTGTCCACAGCAGGTGCGGTGATGCGTTGTTCGGAAGTGATGACGACGAGAGCATGTTGTGCAGCATGACAGCGTGGTCCATCGCCTCAGGCCACTGGTGATTGGGCAGTCGCATGCCACGCAACAATTTGCGCATGGTGTTTTGGAGAGTTCTGTTCATCCGTTCTGCCACGCCTTGCTGTTGATGGGCGTAGGGAAGCGAGATGAGTCGCTTGATGCCTCGTGCTGCGAGGTACTGCCTGAACCTCTGGGACTGATATTCCCCTCCTCCGTCCGACTGGAAGCTTTTCAGATTTGCTCCCGATTCTCGCTCTGCCACAGGTAGCCAGGCGACGAAGGCTTCGAAGGCCATGTAGCGACTTGGTAGATTGAGATGCCAGACGTAACGGGTGGCGGCGTCGATGAAAGTAATCACGTAATTGTATGCCCCTTGTCCCTGTTCGCGAGTATACAGGATGTCGCTGTATACTTTCTCAAGTGGTGCATAGGCTGGCGCGCTTGGATTGTGGTGAGAGACGATTGTTGATGTGGTAAGTCGGCTTAAGGACAGGTAAAACATGTTCCACGTACTCGTTGGAGTTCTCTGCCGTCGGGTAGAAGGAGTGAGTCTTTGTCAAGCACTGCTGCCTTGATTGTATTGTTTAACGTGGTGTTGTTTGGATGACCCAGTCGTTCGTGCCACAGGGATTCGCTTGCACGATGTCCGGGTGAGCGCCTGTACATGTCAGAGTTGGAGTAAAAGGTGGCGGTGAAGTTGGCGCTTCTGTGAACCTCTCGTGGAGTGGGAGCTAATTGCTGCGCAGGAGTATCGTCGGTGGAGTGTCGTCGATGAGTGTTGGTGCCGTCGAAGAGCTCGCGATTGGTGTTGTAAGTGTTGTTGTTGTTGCCAATGTTGTCTCTGCTGTTGACGATGTTATTTCTTCTTGCCGGATTGTTGCTAATGCCCGTGTTCTTTCTGCTTCAGGTATGGTATGTGAATACCAGAACCCTCCAGAGCTGAATTCGGGATCGAGGTCCGGTGGGTGCGTCCAAGAGGCGAAGTTGACGATGGCGTTGCTATCGGCGGTTCCTTGATCTGGTACAAAATCAAGGACGAAGACGTTATTCTTCAAGACTGCTCTGCCGATGTAGAGTCCTCCTCTACCGTGGAATAGCTTGAACTCTTGAGTGGTGCTGTCTGCTTCAAGATGAATACCCTTCGCCATCAGTTGGCTGATGCTCAGTAAGTTGTAGCCGAGTCCTTCTGCAATCAGGACTTAAGACATTTGTAGGATGACGTTGGTTTCTCGGGACTGAAGTTGTACTACTCCTTGTCGTCGTGTGTGCAGGTTCTGGTTGTTGGCCACAGTGATGATGACTTCGCGCTGAAGTTGATGTTCTTGTTGAACGAAACGACTTGAAGAGCACATATGTTGTCCACAGCAACTGTCCAAGAACCAAGTGTCTTGCCCGGACGGTTCGCTTTGGGCGATAGCTGCATACGTCGGATTGGGCTCCAGTGATTCGCGGCGGGGAGTCCTTTCATCGAGTTGGTCTTCTGGTGAGTAGTGGGGTGGTGATCCGGTGATGCAGGAGTCCGTCGTTCTTGTCATGCAGCTAACGATTTTTCTTGTTCCTTGTGCAGATTGCGATGTTGAAGATGTTGAAGGCTGCACTTGACTGGTGGGATGCGCCTCCGTAGAGGCTACTTGAATGCTTGAAGGCCGAAGTTGACATTGCGATGTTGTCGACTGCTGCTGATTGGGGTAGTATGTGCGCGGATGACCGGATGTCTTGCAAAGATAACAAAACGGTGGGACGTACTGTTGTACTTGTCGGTTGTTGTGTCGGTTGTTGTTGTTGTTGTTGTAGCGTCGTTGAGTATGAAAGGCGAATTCTATTGCTAACACTTTCTTCTTGTGTCGTTCTTCGTGCAGGTCCATATCCTGCTGTTCGGCGTGAATTTCGGCGCAGAGTGCTGCTTCGGAGATCTTCCCGTGAGCTCGAAGGAGTGCTCAAGTGGACCGCCAATGAGGACCAAGACTGGCGATGATGACTGTTACAAATGCTTCTTCCGAAATTGACCCTCCGCATCGAAGAAGTCTGTCACGCAGTCCGCGACAACGGCTATAAGTCATTCCCTTTTCGCCGGGTTTCATTTCCACTGTTGTCAACTGTGCCATGAGACGAGTCTGGTTAACGCTGTCTGTTGCTTGATACAGGCTCTTCAGATGGTCGTATGCCAGCTCGGCGGAGTTGCCGTATCCTCGATAAGACCGGATGTTCTGTTGTTCGTTTGGCGTTATCGTATACGTCATCAGCGACTGATACGTATATTGCTGCTTGTCGTACTGTGTCCCGTGTGCTGGATATGGCAGGGACCCGTCGAAGAATCCGAGGATTTGCGCGCCCTCCATCATCGGCTCAAATTCGAATGACCAGGTATAAAAATCTTTCCCGTCGAAGAGTGTTGATGTTTGCAATTTTAGGACGTGTGCGAATTGCGATTGCACCTGAAGCGCGTCCAGTGTCTTCTCTTTTCCAAGTGAAGACTGCGGCTGCGGCGCGAAACTGATGGAGCCGCGTTGAGGTTCATACGAGGCAAAGGTGGGTTGTTGTTGATTTCCACGCGCATAGGATGAACCGTCGAGGGTCATCGGAGTTGCTCTGTTGTTGTTGTCGCTGTTGTTTGATTGCGCAGGAGCTGCTTGCTGGTGTTTCTCGTAGAAGGACATGAAGGAGAAAAAATTCTCCATCATGTTTGGGTCGAAGCCTGCTTGTTGGTTCCCGGGAGTTTCCGTTGACTCTGCAGCTGGTCTTGTGCCTTCTTCTGTCTGTAGGCCAGAGACTGGAGGTGGAGTAGGGGTGGTGCCGAGAAATCCGTTGGAGGAGCTCCTCTCCTTTTGTGTAGCCATGACTTGTGTTGTGAGAAAGGTTTGAAAAGGTGATCTTGTCCTGCCTGTTCTGATACCATGTTGGGCTGAGAAAAGCCCTTTGGATCTTTCAGGACTAAGATCAGGTGTTGACGTGGAGATGTTGTAATAGCGGAAGCGTTGTAATATCAGAGTTGCTTGAACCACCTTGTACTAGTGTGTGAGAACAAGATAAGTTGATTAATAGCAGGGAAATACAAGGCTTTTATATGATTACAAAGGAATATGAAAGGTTCTACTTTCAACTGTTTTTGCTGTTGCGGTTCGATACAGTGCCGACTCGGGTAACTGCTCAGTAACGAGTCAGTTATGTGTCCTTGCTGTCGCACTGTACGTTTTGTCAAGTCAAAGGTCGGAGACCTTTGACCTTCGCGTAACCTCCGACGGTTTCCTTGGTTGACTCGAGTGCTTCTTCGCTGTAGTCAGCTCCGTTTCGTGTCGAAGTTTCGATACGACAGAAGCGTTTAAATCACTTTTTTCCAACAAGAAAGAGCACACACACACACATAAAATAGAACCCAAGATGCATGAAGCTGTTGGACTGAGAAAAGCCCTGAGGATCTTTGCAGGACTAAATTCTAAGTAGGACAATGTAACAGCGGAAGTGTTTAAATGAGAACTTTGTGAACCACCTTGCGCTAGTATGTGAGGGCAAAGTAGATTGATTAAAACAAAGAGATACAAGCTTTTATAAGAGTACAAGGAATACGAAAAGATACAGTTAATAACCGTTTTGCTGTTGCTGTTGCGGTTCGATACATTGACTCGGGCAACTGCTCAATAGCGAGTCAGTTGTTTGTCCTTGCTGTCGCGCTGTATTTGTCAGGTCAAAAGTCGCTGACCTATGACTTTCGCATAACCTCCAGCAGTTGTTCAACCTCCGAGGGTTGACTCGCTAATGCTTCGATATGTTTTGCTTCGCTTCTGACTTGGTGTTTCGACACGACAGAGGCGCTAAATCAATTGTTTCCAACAGAAGCAAGCCCTTCACGGGTTGCAGAGAAGGCTTGAATGAAACCTGGAATGTATGTGCCGTTACCGCCTTTCTCTCCCTTCATCTCCCAACCTTTCTTGAAGGTATGCGCAAAGTTTTTTTGAATAATCCAGCTCAAGCCGCTGCACCCACCGGAACTCCCACTGCACCCACTGGAACTCCCCTGCACCCACTGGAACTCCCACTGCACCCATTGGTACTCCCCCTACAGCTCAAACCTGGCAGCGAGCACAAGTGTGGCCACCAAACTCCTGAGTGGCCTTTCTATCCCTTCCCATGCCTGTCTTTCTGTCCTACATCTTTTGTGCAAAGCAAAGCACTTTTGAGATATAAAAGCCAGCTCAGGCTACTGCAGTCACGGCTGTAACACCCACTGCCGCCATTCCTGCAAACCCCGGCACTGCCTTTCTCTCCCTCACCACAAGCCTGAGTGGCTTTGCCAGAGCCATGGTCAACCCAAAATTTTCCGTCATGTCCACTCCTCCAGCTGCCCTAACATCTTCGGGCAGCTCAAAATCAAACCACAGAACGAAATTCGCCAGCAGGCGAGCAGAGAGGTCCAATCCCATATTCATCCCAAGGCACCCGCGCCTGCCCGAACCAAAGGGCAGCAGGCTGAAATTTTTCCCGGTCATGCCAGGGGCAGCAGAGTCAAGGAACCGGGAGGGGTCAAATCTATGCGGGTTGATCCAGACCGTTGGATCGTGCGCGAGAGCCCAGCCATTGATCTGGATCATGGTGTTGGGAGGGATGTGGTATCCACCAATAGTTACGCTGCCAGTTGTTATGTGGGGACCGAGGAACGGAGCAACCGGATGATGCCTAAGTGTTTCTTTTAAAACGGCCTGCAGGTACGGCATTTCCGCTACCGGAAGAGAGACCATATGATCAGAAACTCCCCCTGAAGCCGCCCCAGTTTCGGCAGCTGCACTTGCTGACCTGGCATACTCCACATCCACCTCAGCACGGAGCTTTTCCAGCATGTCGGGGTGCTGCGCCAGCTCAGCAAGCGCCCATTCCACGGTCTTGGAGGTGGTATCAGTACCCGCCATCATCATATCAATTGCAAGCATCAGCATCTCGTCTTTATCCACTTGATCCTCCCCCTCCCCTTCCATCTCGAACAAAGCATCGACAAGGGCCGTTTCGTGTCCCTTCAACGAGTCCTCCGGCTTTTCAGCCACAGGTCTCCCTCTCCGCGTTTTCAACTCCTCCTGCTTTTCAACCCCTGTCCGCATTTTCAGCATGAGCTGGCGTCGCTCCGCGATGCACGCGCGCATGAACCCGTGCTGCTGCGGCACGAGGCGCTTCGTCCGCGCGTATATGCGCTGCGGGTCCCAGTAGCTCAGCCATGGCACGAAATCCGCGATATTGAATGTTCCCGCAAGAGCAGAGCCCTCCTCGATTATCGCAAGCGCTATGTTTCCTTCCGCTTCTTCCATTGAAGACGATAAGTTAGTCTTAGCAGCAATAGTACCATTATCCGCTTTCTCTGTCAGAGAGGATATTAGCTTGGAGCTATCTTGTTCAGCCGCTGCCGAAGCCTCAGACCCAGTGGCAGGAGCTGCAACCGCGTCGCCGACAGCGCCGCGTCGAATATCACCGCCGCGTTTCTCGCCGCTCATTGCGGCTATGAGCGCGTTCCAGTCGATGCGCATCCCCGCGTCGAGAAGCGCCTTTGTCGTGGTTCTCGCCGTGCCGCGAATCGAGGAATAGCCGAAGCGCTTTCCAACAGTCACGCGCATAATGTTGTTGAGCGTCGCGCAATTTAAATACCTTCGCACCTCTATTATGCTCCCCTCTTCTGCCACGGCAGAAAATTTCGCGGCTCCTCCCGTAGTAGTAGCACCCATTTTAGCCACATCCGAAGGACTCGTTGTTGCGCCATCAGCAGCTGCGTCAGCAGTACCAGCCACGTCAGCAGCGATCGCATCGAGCATTTCGTGAACCTCCCCCTCTCGCACGGGAAGGCTCTCCTGCAGTTTCTTCGCAGACAGAAGGTGGAGCCCAGCCGTCGCAACTTTCGCCAACGGTCGTTGGGTGGCGAGAACACGATGTTCTTGCCGTGTAGTGAGAGAATAGCTAATGTTCGATTCATCGGGCGAGACGAGCAGAGCTTGTCATTCGTTTTAAGCACCTCGCGAGCGAGCTCTGGCGACGAGATCACCACTGACGGCGTTGAACCGTACCAGACGGTCAGGATCGGGCCGTACCTGTCGGCCAGCTTCGCGAGGGAGCGGAAAGGCAGCAATCCTAGGTCCGGGAGGTTGCCGAAGATGGGCCATGGGGAAGGGCCGGGGGGGAGGGAGCGACGGCGGCGGAGGAAGGAGAGCCAGGAAGTGGAAATGAGAACCGCGACGGCGGCGACAATGGCTGTGATGACGAAATGCGAGTCGGATAGTACTAAGTTTGAAGAGTCGACGAGGCGTGAGGCAGCGCGGAAGACTCCGCTTGATGCCGTTAAATTCGGGGAAAGATGCTGGGCGGTGTTGATTCCGCTGGCAAACCAGCCTGTCCCAGGAAGCGAATCACCAGCAGTCATGGTAGGTGATAAGAATCCCAGCTACGACCGTGCTGGAAATGCACGATGGGCGAAAGTGATGGACGCAGTCAGTACCTTCCAGCACAATTGTGCAAAGGTGAGATGGAAAGAGGTTTCGTGCAGGCAGGATAAATGTGCAGAATGTCTAGGCAGGATGAATCGAGGGCAGGCCGAACCGCGCAAAGGACAAATGTGTCGGGACTTGGGGAGGGAATGACGGAGCGCCGTGTTTTCTAGTTTCCAATTCCAATGGGCAGTGGTTTTGACAGCACATCACTCCGCGCTCACGTCCAATACCTCGGGGCATATTATTTCTCCTTTTCCCTTTTTGAGTCCACAAATACATATTGTTTCTATGTAACGAGATATTCCGAATTTATTCGTCGAGACCAGAGCAAATGCGCAGCTCGGGACAAAAAAAAAAAAAAAAAAAACAGCCCTGATGGCTTGTCATGGTATGCCACATAAAAGGGATCAGCCCTAAACACCGTGAGGCAAGGTGTTTAGGGCTGATGCATCCCAAATGGCTTGTCATCCGAGTGGGTTTTAGTTTTTCCACTGGCCTCGATCCTGAAACCAGGTAGACTTAGTATTCTCCCTTCTATACGGCTGGTCACGAAAAATGGAAAATTGCAATAAAAACTGCCCGCGGGAATTGGGCTCGAGCGCGAAGGGAGTCGCTATCAAAACCACTGCCGAAAGAAATCGAAAACGCACAAACACGGAGATCTGTCATTTCCTCGGACTTGGGGGACTCCAGCACACATTCATGCGGTTCGGTAGAGAAGTAGGCACACCGTTTTCAACGCGCCGGGTTTGGAGAACTGGAAATGCGTGGACCCCGAACATTCAAAATTGGGTGATGCCAGATGGCAAACTCCAGCTGCTGTATCAGGTGACCGGTTTCGCACGCAATGGCAGTTCGATTCGCACAAATGGGTTTCCTGCTGGACAGGGAAAGCAACCCTGGCTAGGCGAAAAACGAGGACCATCGCTTTTCAAAAACGTGGTGAGCGAGAACTTTCGTGACCTCCAGTTTCGACACCACAGTCAATGATACATCAGCAGCACGTGTGCTGCTAACATGACTAGACAATTCGCACCCAGCAAATTCGATTAGAAATCTCAACCTAATTGAGCAGCTAAGTTGGAATATTCAATGGAAACAATATTGAACATCCAGCACAATTAGATTACAATATATTAAAACAAACTCACACCCTATGGCATTTAGTAAAAAAACATGCGAGCACAAGGACAGGCGGTACCCAAGAATAACTGAGCAAACTGATTAATATCTGCACCCTCCACAAAGACACCTGCCTCCTTCTCATATACTCTCTGCTCGACCTTGTCCAATGTTTTATCGTAATTGAGAAAAAAAAACCTACTTCACCTGCTTCCATTCCGCTACTGTAACATACGCCGTAGAGGCTTAGCAGCGCTAAAGTGATACCTGCGTCCTTTCCCAAATCAGCGTCAACTCCATCAGCAGCCAACACATCTTCGGGCAGCTTCAAATCAAACCGCAACACACTGCTTGCTACCATACACACTGAAAGGTCCAATTCTGAATTCTTACCTGCACAGCACACACACGCCAGCCCGAACCGAAGGGCAGCGCGTCAAAATTCTGCCCTGTAACATCCTGGGGCAGATGGGAGAAAAAAAAAACTGCTAGGATCAAACTCATGGGGGTTGATCCATACCGTTGGATCGTGAGCGAGACCCCAGGAGTTGCCGGTGTATCCGCCAACAGCAACTCTGGCAGGTTTCAGGTGAGGGATGAGGAGCCGTACTGGGGGATGGAGCCTCAGAGTTTCCTCAATCACCGCTTGAAGTTAAGGCGAATTCTGCACTGAGAGGAGATGCCTTTCCAACCAACGCCTTGCTTCCCGAAAGATTTTCCTGCTGCTTCTTCCGACGCCGCTGCTATTGTGGCTCCGCCTTTCCCAGCACAGACTGGGTTCAATCGAACAACGCTGGTGGCAGCACTGTTCTCACTGTAACCAGCAAAAGAACATGCAATGCTGTTATGGTTACCAGCGCAAGCATGGGACACCGTAGCAGCAGCTGTATGGAAAGAGAATACAGGGACAGAGACTGGGACAGGGAGAGGGACAGGGACAAAGGATCAGCAACAGCTGCAGCAGCAGGAGGCAGTAGCAGTAACAGAAGCCTTAAAACGAGCAGGAGGAGCAGCAGCGACCACAGGATTCGCCTTTAGAACCCTCCTCCTCCTCCTCCTCCTCCTCCTCCTCCTCCTCCTCCTCCTCCTCCTCCTCCTCCTCCTCCTCCTCCTCCTCCTCCTCCTCCTCCTCCTCCTCCTCCTCCTCCTCCTCCTCCTCCCCTCACCATCATTCTAAGTGGCGTAGACAGCTGGTAACTCCATGACTCCATAACCAGGTCAACCCCTCATTTAGCAACCCTTGCAGCTCATGCTCCTGAAGCAGAAACCACAGCCCCTGCCACTGCCTTTCTCTCCCTCACCACAATCTTCAGCGGTTTAGCCAGCGCCATGGTCAGCCCAGATTTTTCTGTCATGTCCAACCCTCCAGCTGCCCTCACATCTTTGGGCAGCTTGAAATCAAACCGGCAAACGAAATTCGCCAGCAGACGGGCTGACAGATCCAGCCCCAAGTTCGTCCCAAGGCATCCACGCCTGCCCGAACCGAAGGGCAGTAAGCTGAAATTCTGACCGGTTACATCAGGGGCAGAAGGGCCAAGGAACCGGGAGGGATCAAATTCGTGCGGGTTGATCCAGACCGTTGGATCGTGGGAGAGAGCCCAGCCGTTGATCTGAATCATGGTGTTGGGCGGGATGTGGTAACCACGTAGAGTTACACTGCCAGTTGTCATGTGGGGTACGAGGAACGGAGCCACTGGGTGATGCCTTAGTGTTTCTTTTATGACAGCCTGCACATACGGCATTTCCGCTACTGGAAGGGAGACCGGAGGATCCGAACCTCCTACTGCAGCCACCCCGGTTTCCGCGGCTGCGCTTGCTGACCTGGCATAAGCTTCATCCACCTCAGCGCGGAGCCTTTCCAGCAGGTCCGAATGCTGCGCCAGCTCAGCAAGCGCCCATTCCACGGTCTTGGCGGTGGTATCAGTTCCCGCCATCATCATATCAATCGCAAGCATCAGCATTTCATCCTTATCCATCTGATCCTCCCCCTCCCCTTCGATCAACGCATCAACAAGCGCAGCTTCAGCTTCAAGTGTAGTCTCGCTCCTCAATTCTTCCGACTCGGAACGATTCTTTTGCGACAGGAGCTCGCGTCGCTCCGCGATGCACGCGCGCATGAATCCGAACAGCTGCGGCGCGAGGCGCTGCGCGCGCGCGTACATGCGCAGCGGGTCCCAGTAGCTCAGCCACGGCACGTAATCCGCGAGATTGAATGCTCCCGCAAGAGCAAATCCCTCCTCGATTATCGCAAACGCCACTTCTCCTTCCGTCGCCTCCATCGAAGATGATAAGTTAGTCTTAGAGGTACTATATTCCGCTTCAGCCGCTGCCGAAGCGTCAGAACCAGTAGCTGGAGCTGCAGCCGCGTCGACACCGCCGCCGCGTTTCTCGCCGCTCATTGCGGCGATGCGCTCGTTCCAGTCAATTCGCATCGCGACGTCGAGAAGCGAATTTGGCGTGGTGCTCGCCGCGCCGCGAATCGACGAATAGCCGAAGCGCTTCCCGACAGCAATGCGCATAATGTTGTTGAGCGTCGCGCGATTTAGATACCTGCGCACTTCTACTATGCTCCCCTCGTCTGCAACGGCGGCAAATCTCGCGTTGCCTCCCGTTTTAGTCACATCCGAAGGGCTAGTTGTTGCGTCAGCAGCAGCTACGTCAGCAGCGATCGCATCGAGCATGTCGCGAACCTCCCCCTCTCGCACGGGAAGGCTCTCCTGCAGTTTCTTCGCAGACAGAAGGTGCAGCGTCGCCAGCCGTCGCAACTTTCTCCAACGGTCGTTGGGTTGCGAAAACACGATATTTTTCCCGCCGAGAGAGAAAATCTCCAATGTGCGAATCATTGGACGAGACGAGCACAGCTTATCGTTCGTTTTAAGCACCTCGCGAGCGAGCTCTGGCGACGAGATGACCACTGACGGGGTGGAACCGAACCAAATGGTAAGGATCGGGCCGTACCTGTCGGCCAGCTTCGCGAGGGAGCGGAATGGAAGCGTTCCTAGGTCCGGGAGGTTGCCGAGGATGGGCCATGGGGAAGGGCCGGGTGGGAGGGTGCGACGGCGGCGAAGGAAGGAGAGCCAGGAAGTGGAAATGAGAACCGCGACTGCTGCGATAAAGGCTGCGCCGAGGCCTGACGCTGCGCGGAAGTCTCCGCCTGATGCCGTTGTGTTGAGGGAAAGCTGCTGGGCGGTGTTGATCCCGCTGGCGAACCAGCCCGTCCCAGGAAACGAATTCCCAGCAGCCATGGTGACTGAGGATTTCTGGCAACAAGCGTTCTGAAAACGCAGAAAGGGCGAAAGCTGGAGACTATCAGCAGAACCTCCCAGTACGTGCGAAGATGGGAAGGGAATACTGAGATTACCGAGAGGGAACAAGGTTTGTGCATGAGTAACTGGAGTGTTGTATGAACTCCGTTTCTGCTCAAAACTCTACTCAAACGTAGAGAATTGACAACAAGCCGCTAAAACATACAGAAACGCACTTCACCGCAATAAAGCGAGCTCGCGTGAGCAAGCTAGTACTGTGGGGTGGAAAGACAGATTCGCCAGGACTCATGCGCTCACATTTTATGCGGTTTCCTGAAGCGTTTTGATTCGCCAGCGCGGCTGCCTGCAGGTTCAAGACTGGGCGATGCACTTGACCGTTTTCGCACGCAATGAAGAGGCGACTGGTTTCGCACGCAAGGCCGTTTCGTTCGCAAGCAAGCCTGGCTAGGCGACAAAACGAACGCAATCATTACAGGTGAGCGAAAACTTGCAGAAGCTCTTGGGTGTGTCATGAAGTGGTGCGTCCGTTTTTGCCGACCTCAAGTACAGTAGTATCTACAGCCCATATACACATCAGCTGCACATGTGCTTCAACATTACATTCAGCAGCGAGAAAAATGAAGCAAAGAGCATCCAACACACATAAATGCTCACCCAAGAGCATCTAGTAAGAAACACATGCACACAAGGACAGGCAGCACTCGTGCTGAGCAAACTTATTACTGTCTGCAACCTTTAGAAAGACACCTGCCAACTCTTTTTCAAACGTTACAACCCTTATCCAATGTCTTCACTGAAGATGGGCCTACTTCAACTGCATCCCCTTCCGCTCCCGCAACACAAGCCGTAGAGGCTTAGCCAGTGCCAAAGTGAGACTAAAATCCTCTCCCAAGTCAGCTCCACCAGCGGCCAACACATCTTCGGGCAGCTTCAAATCAAATCGTGAAACAATGCTCGCTAGCATGCGTGCTGAAAGGTCCAGCCCCAAGTTCATACCTGCACACACCCGCCTGCCTGAACCGAACGGCAGCACACCATAATCCTGCCCGGTCACATCAGGGGCAGATGGGCCGAGAAACCTGCTGGGATCAAAATTATGGGGGTCGATCCAGACCTTCGGATCGTGAGCGAGACCCCAGGCGTTGATCTGAATGATTGTGTCGGAAGGGATGGTGTATCCGCCAATAGAAACACTGGCAGTTGTCGTGTGAGGGATGAGGAGCGGTACTGGGGGGTGGTGCCTCAGAGTTTCCTTAATCACTGCTTGAAGATAAGGCATCTCCTGTACCGAGAGAGATGATTTAGCAATGCGCTGTTTTCCATTACATTCTCCTGCTGCTTCCTCCTCCGCTGATGCTTCTGTGGCTGATCCAGCTGCTGACTCGGAGTATGCGGCATCCACCTCAGCTTGGAGCCGTTCCAGCATGGCAGGGTGTCTTGCCAGCTCAGCAAGGGCCCACTCAACAGTCTTGGCAGTGGTGTCAGTGCCAGCATTGATCAAATCCAAACAGAGCAGCATACTCTCCTCCCTGGTTACCCTATCCTTTCCCGTTACCTCTTCCTCCCCTTGGCTCTCGATTTCCAGCAATGCATCTACCAAAACGCGTTCCGCCACTGACTCTTCTCCTCCCAGCTTCACATCACCTCCCTCTCCTTTCCCACCTTCCCCATCATTCTTGCGCCACCTTTCTAGCCCCACGTCCCTTTCCCCCTTGTCCCGTTCTTCCACTCCCCGTTCCCCCGCTCTCCCCCTACGTGTTTCCAGCATCCGCTTTCTCTCCGCAACGCACGCCAGCACATACCCTTCGAAGCGCGGATTGAGCCGCTTCGCGCGAGCGTAGATGCGCTGCGGATCTAGAAGGCTGAGCCACGGAATAAAATCAGCCAGATTGAATGTTCCCATCACCTGAAACGTCTCGTCGACCATCGCAATCACCTTCTCGCCTTCCATTTCGTCCTCCGCGATTGCCGTCAACTCGCCGGATTTCGCTCCGTTGATAGCGGCGACGAGGCCCTCCCAGTCGGTTTTCATCGCCGCTTCGAGCATTTCTCCTGGTGCGGCTGCCGCAGCGCGACGAACGGTGCTGTAGGTGTAACTCTTTCCGACCGTCAGCCGCATAATGTTGTTCAGAGTCCCGCGGTTCAAATACCCTCGCATTTGCACGCCTCTCGCATCCCCGTTATTAGCGACTTCCGCTATCGCGTCAAGCATGTCGCGGATCTCTGCTTCGCGAACCCAGAGAGTCTCCTGTAATCCCCGCGAAGACAGGAGATGCAGATTCGCCATGCGTCGCAACTTTCGCCAATGGTCGTTCGATGGCGAAAAAAAAATGTCCTTTCCACCGTGCGACGCGAATTCGATAAGGCGTAGAAGCGGGCGCGAGGAGCAGAACTTATCATGCGTTTTAAGAACCTCGCGGGCCAACTCTGACGAAGTTATAATCACAGATGGAATGGACCCGACCCACACGGTCAGGACTGGACCGAACCTGTCCGCGAGCTTTGCGAGGGAGCGGTACGGCAGGAAGCCCAGGTCTGGAAGGTTGCCTAGGATCGGCCATGGGGAAGGGCCTGGAGGTAAGGAGTATCGACGGCGGAGGAAGGAAAACCAAGATGCCGAGACGAACAACGCGACGGCTGCAACTATCACCGCGAAAAACGGCGGCAATTGAAACGAGTTGGTGCTAATCACCCATGCCTCAGATGCGGCCGCAGCAGACCTAGTGACCATACTTCCTACTGGTTTTGCTTGTAGGATGCGAGGATGTGTACGCACATGCTCACACAAACTCTTCCCTTGCTGCTATGCATTGTGAACCTCGCTAAGGGCAGCCCCCTTTTCCAGTACAAGCTGTTGAGCACGATAATGCTGCATTTCTGAACGGCCTATCTATTCACCACTCTAAACCGTAAATCAACAGCCCGGCATTTCATTTATACACATGTGTAAGGAAAATTCCTTTTCCTTACTTCGTGTCCCTGCTCAGCGCGTACAACACTGACAGCACCCCACAATATCTCGTTACCACTCGCGACATTCGCCCCGACACCATTCCCGCCACTGTTCACGATGCGACCCATCCACACGGTTCCGCTGGTAACCCGCGCTCCGGACCTCCGCCTCGACAGTTCCCCAAACCTCGGCATCAGGCCCGTCGCGCACCCCATTTTCCCACGTTACCGTTACCACCATAGTTTCGCTATATATTCTTCGCTCATTCCTTCGCTCATTGTATCTTGTCTCGATAGTGCAATCCTCGCTCGCCCACTCAATTGCACTCGTAACACTTGGTTTCAGAGCCTACGATCTTCTCTCGGACCCCACCCACACCTTCACTTCCCCACTATCATTTTTTTTGGGGGGGGTATACGTCTCTCAGCGATCAAGCATCGCCGCTCGAAGTGCTCTCTCGTAAGCACGCACGGCCACGACAGAGGCTCTCGCTGAGCTTGCCCGACACCCTCGCCATGGCCGAACTCAACGTCGCGACACTGACACAGGAGCAATTAGATGGGCTCATGCGCCAACTCGAAGAATCGGCGCTTGAAATCGCCACACTCACGGCGGAACGCGACTCCGCTCGCCAACAATCGACAGTGAATGCACCACCGCCAACACACGCACCTGCACATTCGGAGGAGCCGATTGTCATCTCCTCCGGCTCACCGACACAGAATGACAGCGTGGGACAACGCTCCGGCGCAGCCAGTGAAGGCACCGCTCACTCGATGCCGGGCATGGAGAGAAACAGGGCCGCACCAAGCCCACGGGAGCCCCGCGAGTCCCGTCGACACGTGGAATTTGCGGCGACAAGTGGCGAATACGCCGTCACGGCACCAATGCCACTCAAGCCGCAACGCCCGCCCTGTTTCGACCCGAGCCAGCGTGGGGGTCCGACGGTTCAGTCGTGGGTCTTCACGATGAACGTGTTTTTCGACGCCAATTACGTCGAGTCGGACGCAGCAAAGATTTGCTATGCTGTTTCGCTGCTGAGGGGCCCCGCCATGGACTGGTGGCGAGTCATCGTGACGTCGCCACGCGCCTACGAGCCACCGTCGCACAAAGACGGGCCCACGGGCCCAGCCGTCACCTGGAGTTCATTCTGCGAGACAGCCCAGTACAGCACGTGGGATGCGTGGTGCGCAGGGCTTCGGGCGCGTTTCGAGCCGATCGCGGCTTCGATTTCGGCGCGTCAGAAGCTGCGCACTTGGCGGCAGCTCGGGTCGGTTCAAGATTACACTAGCGGCTTCCTCGCACTATTCGAACAAGTCGGCTATATGCACGAGGCGGAGCGGGTGGACCGTTACGTTGGAGGGCTAAAGCCGGACATATCGCACGAAATTATGCTACGCGGGCTCTCGAATTTCAACGAGATCCTCGCGCTCGCCGAGAAAATCGACATCCTACGGCGACCGAGACCGGGGTCCTACTACGGACAACGCCCTCGGGGACCGACCGAGCACGCCACCGTACACGCCGTTGCGACGAATGCAGCTGCCGCACCGTTTAAGGGGCGCTGCTTTGCTTGCAATAGGTCGGGCCATCGCAAAAGTGAATGTCAAGAGGAGCTAAGGCGCCGTGGAACAGAGCAGGGGCGAGAGTCTCAAAGGCCGGGAAACGCCAGCAGTCAGTAGAAGTTGGGCCAACTACTGACGAGACTGCCTGCTCGCCCAACTTCACCGACCCTCATCGAGTCACAGTACCGATTCACGCTATCGATCGGGCTCGGACGAATAAAGAGGGTACAGCGACGGATTGCCCAGTACTGATTCACGGGAAAATACAGGGAGCAGCGATGAAGAATTTTATAGACGGAGGTGCAAGTCACAGCTTAGTTAATACCGCGACTGCAAGGAAACTGCAACTGACACTTAGTCGGTGCTTACCAGAGATCGATGCACGCTTAGTTGACGGAACGCCGCTGGCCATACGGGAGAAAGTGGAAAGAGTAAAAGTCCGCTGTAGGGGGGATTTCGGTTTTACACAGGAAATGCTCGCGACGACATTGGATGGGCACGACATTTTACTGGGACGTGATTGGCTGCGACGATACAACCCGCGAATCGACTGGACGACAGGCAGCTGCACTGTGCGAAATGGCGGTAAGTGGGTGGAGCTACCTCACTGGCAGTTGCCTGAGACTTCAACGGTCCACGTCAACGCCATCACGATGAAACGGGCTGTCGCCGCTGGAGCTGATGTGTACGCAGTGGATATCGCGATAGTGGAAGAAGCAGACAAACCGAGTGATTTTCAGAAACTACTAGCAGCAGTACCATCGGAACTACAGGAACTGTTAAAACGATTCCCGGAAATCTTCCCTGACGACTTACCCGAGGGACTGCCACCTCAGCGGGCGCACGATCACCGAATAGAATTAGAGCCCGGGGCACAGCCAACCGTACAGCGACAGTTCAGACTGACACAACCCGAGCTCGACGAGCTAAGGAAGCAGTTAGATTACCTATTAGAGAAAAAATTCATCCGACCGAGCTCATCGCCATTCGCCGCACCGATATTGTTCACACCGAAAAAGGACGGCGGGTTTCGCATGCGTATCGACTACCGAGCACTGAACAGGGTTACAGTAAAATCGCGATACCCCATCCCCCGCGCTGACGAACTGATAGATCAACTGCGCACAGCACGAGTCTTTTCGAAAATTGACTTACGGGGAGGTTACCACCAGATTAGGGTCGAACCGTCGGACTGCGCCAAAACAGCTTTTAGGACTAGGTACGGGTCGTTCGAATACACGGTGATGCCTTTCGGGCTGACCAACGCACCGGCGACTTTTCAGATGACGATGAACGAGGAGTTTAGGCCGCTCTTAGATAAATGCGTAATCATCTACCTCGACGACATCCTAGTCTACTGTCGGGATAAGCAACAGCACTTAGAAGATTTAGAAGCAGTATTTACCGTACTAGACAAACACAGACTACTGACAAAGGGTTCCAAGTGCGAGTTTTTTCAGGACAGGCTCGAGTTTTTGGGGCACGTTATTTCGGAGGCTGGAGTTGAAATCGACCCGAAGAAATTGGACACGGTAAAAGCGTGGCACCCCCCGACAAACATCACAGAACTGCAGAGTTTTTTGGGTTTTGTTAATTACGTGCGCCGGTTCGTCCCCAACATGGCACGCTTAACGGCCTCGCTTACCGATTTGCTGAGGAAGGGGGTCGCTTTTACGAGGGGGGAGAGAGAGCATGCTGCCTTCTCCACCCTAAAAAATGTTCTCTCTTCACCGCCGGTACTGCGCATCGCCGACCCACACCGCCCATTCGAAGTGGTTACTGATGCAAGCGACATCGCCATCGGAGACGTACTGCTCCAGGACTTCAGCAACGGGTTACAGCCCATCGCCTACGAATCACGAAAGTTGCATCCGCCTGAGAAGAATTATCCGATACACGATCGCGAAATGCTTGCGATTGTGCATGCGTTCAAAGTGTGGCGCTGTTACTTGACCGGCGCCGACGTGACAGTACGGACATATCACAAGTCACTACAGTACCTCCGCGCCCAACCCCACCTCAACCCACGACAGATCCGCTGGCTCGACTACCTCGAGTCGAATTTTCACTACACGGTTACCTACAAAAAAGGGGCATCGAACATCGCCAATGCATTAACCCGACCCACAGCCCAAGTTCACGCCATACTACTCGCCCAGACCAGCCCACTGTTAACAGGCCTATTTACCCACGGTTACCAAACTGGTCCATTTTTTACAGGCGGAAACTCGCAGCAGTTTGCAGCAGCAAGAGGAGTCTATTACGTAAAAGCCGGCACCGATCGCATCTGGGTACCAGGTTACACACTTCTACGGGAATTACTGTTGCAGGAGGCACACGACGGAGTTACCTCGGGGCATTTCGGAGTAGAGAAAACACGGCAGCAGCTGCAACGGTACTACTACTGGCCCGAAATGTTGACCGACGTGCAACGACACGTGGCATCGTGTCCCACCTGCCAGGTCATGAAATCATCACGGAAGCGGCCGGCAGGACAATTGCAGCCGATACCACCCCCAGAGCGTGCTTGGCAGCAGGTGACGATGGACTTCGTCACGGGGTTACCGGCGGGTGCAAGTGGGAACGACGCGATCCTGGTCGTCGTCGATCGACTGACGAAAATGGCACATTTCGCAGCATGCAAGAAATCAATCACAGCCGAAGAAACGGCCCGCCTCTTCATCGCAACCGTTGTTCGATTGCACGGGATACCAGCAGCGATAATCAGCGACCGAGATACGAAGTTTACCAGCAATTTCTGGCGGAACCTATGGCAGCAGTTCGGCACGAGGCTGCAGTTCAGTTCTTCGTACCACCCCGAAACCAACGGACAGACAGAACGGACAAGCCAGACCATGGAACAATTAATCCGGGCCACGTGCGACGACTCCACCACCTGGGAACAGCAACTTCCACTAATCGAATTCGCGTACAACAACTCGCCATCCGCCACGACCCAAAAGTCGTCATTTTACCTGAACTACAGACAAGACCCTACAGTACCCATGACCACGAATCCCGACAACCCGGTGCCACGAGCGCAACAATTCGCAGAAATTTTACAGGAAGCTCGGACCAGGGCAGCAGACTGTTAGAATCCTAGGCAAAGAGTGGTATTGGAATGTCGAGAGTTTGGTACAAGAATGAAACCTAAGGGGTTGTACCCCACAGTGAGTACCCCACTAAAGCCTATCTAAATAACAACATATACACATATGTTTGACACAGACGCAATTAAAAAGGCGAACGTTATCGCTAAGCGCAACGCCGACCGACATCGCCGACCAGTCACTTACCAACCCGACGACTTAATTCTACTCGACACTCAAAACCTCCGCCTGCCCATAACTCCGAAACTCCGCCCCCGATATTGTGGGCCATTCCGCATCAGCCACATGGTCACACCGGTCACCGCCCACCTCCTCCCCGCTGACTGGTACGTCAGCCCCTCCTTCCACGTCAGCCTGCTTCGCCCCTATATCCCATCCACCAGCCAACTGGCCCGACATCGCCCAACCAGCATGATCCGACCACCGACCAAGCCAGTCATCGTGCCCGAAAATATTATGAGCCACCGAGTTCGTGACCCACGAGGAGCCCGAAGGGTCGAATTTTTAATACGCTGGAGAGACCGCACACCCACCGAGGACAACTGGGCTCCCCTAGACAAAATCGAAAACCACCCCGTCCTCACCGACTACTTGCGCAGCAGAAATTTCCGGGATATACACGCGCTCTCGTAAAAGAGGCCTCCTTGAGGGGGGGGGGTAGTGTAAGGAAAATTCCTTTTCCTTACTTCGCGTCCCTGCTCAGCGCGTACAACACTGACAGCACCCCACAATATCCCGTTACCACTCGCGACATTCGCCCCGACACCATTCCCGCCACTGTTCACGATGCGACCCAACCACACGGTTCGGTTGGTAACCCGCGCTCCGGACCTCCGCCTCGACAGTTCCCCAAACCTCGGCATCAGGCCCGTCGCGCACCCCATTTTCCCACGTTACCGTTACCACCATAGTTTCGCTATATATTCTTCGCTCATTCCTTCGCTCATTGTATCTTGTCTCGATAGTGCAATCCTCGCTCGCCCACTCAATTGCACTCGTAACAACATGAAACATTCACCAACATCGAGAGCCGCCCGAACGGAGACAACAAGTGAGTTCAGGGGTCATGGCTCACGACTCATAATGAAACACGAGGGTTTCGCGGGACACGTTCCCTATGCAGCATTTGCAGCATTTGATTTTGCGTGGCGCGCCCCGTCGTCGCAAAATTCCAAGATTCACAACAATGCCACACGGCAACTCGTAGCGACGAGGTGACTGGTTTCGCAAGCATGGGCAGTTCCGTTCGCAGCAATCGGTTCCCTACTTCACAGGCCAAAACAAAGTGGACCTAGGCGACAGACGAAGTCCGTTGTTACGGGCATTTGATTTTTCCCTACACACTCTCTCGAAACTCAACTGGATGGTTTGAGACTCACCAAGCTCGGCACTGTCAGCACGAGTTCGTACTGATTCGAGCTTGGACTCTCGAGTAGATGGATTCTAGTCAAGACGGCTCCAGCCACAGCAGCTGCTGCTCAGCACTTCATGTGGCAGTTTGGCTCCTCAGCAGCATAGAGTATTCAACTTCCCGTGCAGATTTTCCCCAGTTGAACCGCTTGAAGCCTTCTCCCCACAGCGTCAGGCCTCATTAATTGCCGATTCGCATTTTATCATCCCCGCCATTGTCGCCGCCGTCGCGGTTCTCATTTCCACTTCCTGGCTCTCCTTCCTCCGCCGCCGTCGCTCCCTCCCGCCCGGCCCTTCCCCATGGCCCATCCTCGGCAACCTCCCGGACCTAGGACCGCTGCCTTTCTGCTCCCTCGCGAAGCTGTCTGACAGGTACGGCCCGATCCTGACCGTCTGGTTCGGTTCCGCGCCGTCAGTCGTCGTCACATCGCCAGAGCTCGCTCGCGAGGTGCTTAAAACGAAGGATAAGCTCTACTCCTCTCGCCCGATGACTCGCACATTGGCTATACTCACACTCGACGGCAAAAACATCGCGTTTTCGCAACCCAACGACCGTTGGCGAAAGTTGCGACGGCTGGCGACGCTCCACCTTCTTTCTGCGAAAAAACTGCGGGAGAGCCTTCCTGTGCGAGAGGGGGAGATTCGCGACATGCTTGATGCGATAGCAGCTGATGTGAATAAAGCGGGGGAAGCGGCAGGCGTTGCGAAATCTGCCGCCGCGGGCGAGGGAATAGAGCTGCGAAAGTAACTAAATCGGGTTACCCTCAACAACATCATGCGATTGACTGTCGGAAAGCGTTTCAGCTATTCCTCGATTCGCGGCGCGGCCGGCGTCGCGCCAAAGGCGATTCTCGAAGGGACCCGCAGCTACTGGGACCCGCAGCGCATATACGCGTGCATGCAGCGACTGACGCCGCTGCTGCATGGATTCTTGCGCGCATGCATCGAGGAGAGACGAAAGCTGCTGAAAATCTCCAAGAATCAAATCGGCATCCCTGGGGACGCGCCGCTTCCGTGTCGGACAGTAGTAGCTGCGAACGGTACTAACGGCGAATCTGTAGCTGCGTATTTATGTGCGTCTGTTAGTAATCATCGTGGGGATGGGTTGCGTAAGGAGGGGACGGAGCGGAAAGCACCTGAAGCTGCCCTTATTGATGCGTTGTTTGAGATTGAAGGGGAGGGAGAGGAGCAGATGGATAACGACGAGATGCTGATGCTCGCGTTTGAATTGATGATGGCGGGTACTGATACCACCACGGTGACGCTGGAATGGGCGCTTGCTGAGCTGGCGCAGCACCCCGACATGCTGGAAAAGGTCCGTGCTGAGGTGGATGCAGCGTATGCCAGGTCAGCAAGTGGAGCCTCCGAAACTGGGGCGGCTGAAGCAGGAGGAACGGATTTCATGGTATCTCTTCCGGTAGCAGAAATGCCCTACCTGCAGGCTGTTTTGAAAGAAACACTTAGGCATCACACAACGGCCCCCATCCTCATTCCCCACATGACAAGTGATAGCGTAACACTGGGTGGTTACCACATCCCTCCCAACACCATGATCCAGATCAACGCCTGGGCCCTCGCGCACGATCCAACGGTCTGGATCAACCCGCACAAATTTGACCCCTCCAGATTTCTTGGCCCTGATGCTCCTGACTTGACCGGGCAAAATTTCAGCCTGCTGACCTTTGGTTCTGGCAGACGCGGATGCCTTGGGTTAAATTTAGCAATTGACCTGTCTACCCGCCTGCTGGCAAACTTTGTTCACCGGTTTGACATTGAGCTGCCCGAAGATGTGCGGGCAGTTGGAGGAGTGGACTTCACAGAACATTTTGCGCCGACCACAGTGCTGGCGAAGCCGCTCAGAGTGGTGTTGAGGGAGAGGAAGCGAGTGGCAGGGACAGTGGTGGCTGTTGCTGGTGCGTGAGCTGCCAAGGGTGATGCAGTAAGGGGTTGAGCTGGTTACAAAGTAGCCATAAACGTGTTAGGATGGTGTTGGGGGAGCGAAAGGCAGTGATGTGGTGGGGGCAGTGATGCTGGTGCTGGTGCTCGAGCTGCAGGTGGTTGTGCTTGAGGGGTTACGCTCATTACAAGGTTACCATGAATGTGTTTTGCACACACAAGACACAAGGTATACTCTCTTGTTAATACCTCATCAGCTTTTTTCTGTACTGTTGGTGGCGATGCGAGTGAGGAGTGCATGCAATGAGAGAGGCACAAGGGCTGGAGGGAGAGGGGGAGGGTGGAGGAAGTGGAGGGGTGCAGCGTGCAATGCAATGGTGCCCTGGTCTGCTGAGGCAGGCTTGCTTTATTCTGCATGATTGTCACAGATATTGTTTTTCTTTCTTCTCGCTTGTGTGCATGCTTGCAAACCAATGTGTCCAGTCTTAAGGACGAGAGGGGTTCTGCTTGCAGATATGTGAAGAGAAGAGGCACAGAGCTTGCACGAGTGGCACAAGCACAAGGACAGATGGTATACACACAGAGGAATACACCCAAGAGCATCTAATGCTAGCATGGGGGCAGATGGCGCTCCAGAATATACTGAACAAACTGATTACTTTCTGCACCCTACACAGCACCTCCCAACCCAGCTCCTCTTCACACCCTGTGGTGCCTTATCCAATGCCTTCAGCGAGCAAGAGCCCTCCTATAACTGCGGCTGCTTTCTCTCCGTCAACACAAGCCTCAGTGGCTTAGCCAGTCCCATGGTAAGACTGAAATTCTCCCCCAAGTCAACTCCACCAGCAGCCACCACATCTTCGGGCAGCTTCAAATCAAACCGCAGGAGAATGCTTGCTAGCATACGCGCAGCAAGATCAAGCCCCAAATTCATGCCTGCACACACACGCCTGCCCGAACCAAAGGGCAGCACCACATAATGCTGCCCGGTAACATCAGGGGCTGACGGGCCGAGAAACCTGCTGGGATCAAACTCATGGGGGTTGATCCAGACCGTTGGATCGTGCGCGATACCCCAGGCGTTGATCTGAATCATTGTGTTGGGGGGGATGGTGTATCCGCCAATAGCAACCCTGTCAGTCGTCATGTGAGGGATGAGGAGCGGTGTTGGTGGGTGGTGCCTCAGAGTCTCCTTAATCACCGCTTGAAGATAAGGCATCTCCTGCACTGGGAGAGATGCAGGGAGGTGATGATTTTCAACTCCCTGTTCCCTAATGCTTTCTCCTGCTGCTTCCTCTGCCGCTGCTTCCTCTGTGAATGCTCCAGCTGCTGCTGACTTGGAGTATACGGCATCCACCTCAGCTTGGAGCCGTTCCAGCATGGCAGGGTGACTTGCCAGCTCAGCAAGGGCCCACTCAACAGTCTTGGCAGTGGTGTCAGTGCCAGCATCGATCAAATCCAGACAAAGCAGCATAATATCCTCTCTGGTTACCCTATCCTTCCCCGAAATTTCCCGTTGCTGTACCCTCTCCAACTCCAGCAATGCATCTACCAGCACTCGCTCCGCACCTGACTCATCTCCCCCCAGCTTAACTTCTCCCAACTTCACCTCTCCTCCCTCCCCTTCCTCTCCTTCCTCTCCTTCCTCTCCTTCCTCTCCTTCCTCTCCTTCCAGAATCGAGTCTACCAACGGCCTCTCCCTCACTACCTTCTCTTCCCTTCCCACCTCCTCTCCCCCCCTTCTCCTGTTCAGCATCTGGCTTCTCTCCTCAATGCACGCCAGCACGAACCCTTCAATTAACGGTTTAAGCCGCTTCGCACGGGCGTAAACGCGCTGCGGGTCTAGAGGGCTGAGCCACGGAACGAAATCGGCCAGATTGAATGTTCCCATGACATCAAACGTCTCGTCGACCATCACTATCACCTTCTCGCCTTCCATTTCGTCCTCCGCGATAGCCGCCGCGGATCGCGCAGATTTGTCGGATTTCGCGCCGTCGATTTTCATTGCCGCGATTCGCCCCTGCCAGTCGATTCGCATCGCCGCTTCGAGCATTTCTCCTGGTGCGGCGGCGGCAGCGCGACGGACGGTGCTGTAGGTGTAACTCTTTCCGAACGCCAGTCGCATAATGTTGTTCAGCGTCGTGCGTTTCAAATACCCTCGCACTTCCACGCCTCTCGCATCCCCGTTATTAGCCACTTCCGCTATCGCGTCAAGCAGGTCGCGAGTCTCTCGCTCGCGAACGGGTAGGCTCTTCTGTAACGCCCGCGACGAAAAGAGATGCAGCGTCGCCAGCCGTCGCTGCATTCGCCAATGGTCGTTGGACGGCGAAAATACAATGTCGTTCCCATCGTGCGTCAGGAATGCGAGAAAGGGTAAGAGCGGGCGGGAGGAGCAGAACTTATCTTGAATCTTAAGCACCTCGCGAGCCATCTCCGGGGAGGATATAATCACAGATGGAACCGACCCGAGCCACACGGTCATGATCGGACCGAACCTGTCCGCGAGCTTCGCGAGGCCGCGGTACGGCAGGAAGCCCAGGTCCGGGAGGTTGCCGAGGATGGGCCATGGGGAAGGGCCTGGAGGTAAGGAGGAGCGACGGCGAAGGAAGGCGAGCCATGTTGCCGAGATGTATAATGCGAGGGCCGCGATTATCGCCGCGAAAAGCGACGGCATTTGAAGATAATCACTGATAGCTACCCATGCTTCCGGCGCGACAACGGATTGATTGCCCATGTCGCCTGCTGCTGGCTTTCCTCGCCGTCTGCGCCAACGCCTCACTCGGGGCTGTACTCTCTAAATTTGACTGCGTTCGCTGGTTCGGCGGCGTTCGCTATTTTTTCAGCCATGAATTCACTGAACGGAGTGTGTCGTATTTGTGCAGAAGCAGGCAGAGCAAGAGCTTGAACATGGAAAGATGTGGCTGGAGAGTGTCAATGCTGCTGGTTCTTTTGATTAGAAAGCATATTGTGCACGAAATGCGTGTTGAAGTGTTTGGAGAAAAGTAGCGAACCGTTCTGTATCGGGGTGGCGAGGGCGTTATCCAGGTGGTGTTGCGTGGATAACGCTTGAATTCGAGTCAGAAATTTTGTGGCCCTCGTCGGCTCCGACCGCGGAGCTCCCCACGTTCCAGGGTCTGCGAATCACTATGACGTCACCTTTTCAAACCTGGCCTTGTATACTGCCTGCGGTCTGGGCTGGTGGACATGAGCAGCTGTTGGTTGGGTTGCGTTGGACTTTGGGGATACGAAGGTGTCGATGTGGTACACCCGTTGTCGCAAAATTCGCATGCGGATGGAAGGAAATGACCACCTCGAATCCACCAACCGTCAACTCCCAATCGGAGGGCGGAGATCGACCCTCAAACGGGGGTGCCTGACTGCCTGCTGACTGCCTAACGTCGCCAGACCGATGTGTCGCCGCGTCAGTGCTTCCCCACCACATCCTGTTCGGCCACTCAACGAGGGTTTCGGTGGATAACCTTCGCCCAGCTGACGTGTTTTGCTCTTTCAGACAGACTCACACAATTCAGGCCCTCAGCTCCAGGAAATCCTAGCAGACACAAGAAGAGAGCAGCCCAAGAAAATGGCTTCCAGCACAGTGGAGAACCTAAGTGACCAGGTTAGGACGGATGGACGGGAGGATAGAAGCACATTGAGGAAATTGGAGTCAGCGAGTCAAGACACTGCTTGTTTGACGAATCGTTCCACTGATGACGCAGGGAATTGCACGCTTCGCCTTGCGTCAATTGGAGATGGAGATAGTAAGGATTATGGTCAGCAAAAATCCGAGGGTACGGTTAGGTCAAGCGTGAATCAGACGCATCAGTCGGAGAAACGGCAGCGTGAAGAGTCTTACGAGCGCCATGAACCAGACAATCAGGAGCCAGCAGGCGGAGTTCACGATAATCATGGAACCGGGGTATCAAATCCGGCTTCTGATGAAGACCCTGGTGTTGTCGATGAGAAAAGGCAGAAGCGGATGTTAAGCAACCGTGAATCAGCGAGACGATCGAGATTAAGAAAGCAGCATCACCTTGACGAGATGAAGCAACAGGTGGGTGCAGATGCGTCTTTCTTAACGTGCTTCCGCTCCCTTGGAGCCACAATTCCGATTAATCTCCTCAATTTCTATGCGGGAATGTTTGCAGGTTGCACAATTACGAGCGGAGAATACTGACATGGTCACAAAGTACAATCTGGCTTCACGACACTACGCTCAGATCACGGACGAGAATCGCGTCCTTCGATCGCATGCTATGGAGCTCAGTCGGCGGTTACAGCGACTACACCACGCGGCAAGTGCTCAGGGTCACACCATGGGCCATGACTTCATGGGTATGACCCACATGGATCCATCACTGCAGCTTGGCATGGGAGGGATACCTTCCGGCGGTGGCATGCCACATGGTCAGCATCCTGCTATGGCCCACATGTCTCAGATGCAACATCACGTGGCTGGAGCTCATCCTCCCGCTTTTCATTACCAGTTTCCAGGCTCCATGACACCCGAGCTTACACGATGAAGGGCTTTTCGCCTTCCGTGTTAATACTAACAAATTACCTGTGGCATTCATTTTTGTTCAGTTGTGTGTGTGGTATTAGCTCTTGTGTGTGTGAAAAAATGGTGTATATTTTTTGTTATGAGTGCTGGTTTTGCTCACCTACGGTCTCAAATTTCAGAATGGTGTGGTACGGTAGCTTATCAATTGTGTCACCCCACCGGCTACCTTCCTGCGTAAAGAAGCAAAGCAAGAATTAAGAATCTAATTCAAATCACGCCCAGTAGCCTGGTTCACTGCCTGGTTCACCACCACCAAACACACATCAGGGCAAGGGACAGCAAGAAGTTTGCTGGTGTTATAACAGTGGGAGTGCACTATGGCCTCAACCTCAACTCTCAAACCAGTCCTATTGTCCTATACAAGTGTATGGATATATATAAATATCGGACCATGACCCACTTACAATGGCAGACACCCGCGTACGCAAGCGTGTGTGTCACTGTCAACTAATGTAATGTCCATTATTCCCACACCCACTGGTGCTATGTATCTGGCATGCGCAGTATATGATCAAACGATTCAGCTCAGAGCGTATTCCTATCCTCGTATCAAGAAAACCTCATATCAAGATTGTACTTTTTGCCTGGTAAAAGTAGCGAGAGGTTTTGGGTTTAGGGGAATTTTCAGTGGGAGGTTGATATGAGGTTTTCTTGATACGAGGATAGGAATACGCTCTCAAAACACCAGCCATATAAGAGTACACTATATCGGACCATGAATCCGGTACACCCGGCACACACCAATGCGAGCAGTCAGGGCGGTCGTTGCCGGTGAACTGACCCTGATGAGCGTCAGGGCGGGCAAGCGAGGACCTTGCAATGTCCACTATCTTGAACTGGGGATAGGAACTGAATGCCTGGCGAGAGTATCAATAGGGGAGTAGAGCAAGGGTAAGGGAGGGGAAGAGTAAGGGTCGAGTTGGGGAAAGTAAGGGGAAAGAAAAGTGAGAGTAGCAGGAGAGAAGGGGGAGGGGGAAAAATAGAGTAACTGGCCCTGATGGGCGTCTAGGCGGGCAACGGAGGACCTTGCGATGTCCACTATCTTGAACTGGGGATAGGAGCTGAATGCCTGGCGAGAGTAGCACACCGCAGCGGTTAGAGCATAAATACGGAAGCAAGCGGGAGAGTAGGCGGAGAGAGTAGGGGGAGGGTTAGGGAGTCTCGAGGGAGATAAGGATGAGATTAACGGGAGAGTGAGAAGAGAGGAAGAGATGGAGATGCATGTATGAAAAAAGACGGGGGATCGGGTGGGGGAGAGGAGTTGGAGTGGGGGCAGGAATGAGTAGGAATTGAAGCTCTCCCCTTCTTCCCCCCATTCCTCCACTGCCCTCATCTTCCCCTATTCAGCACCTGGCCCAAACGCACACTTGCTTGTGCATCTCTTGCTTGCAGTTTCTCTGTGTTCCTCTCTACCCATAGCATCCTCGTACCGTTCATCATTCACCCCCCTTTCCTCCCTCCGTTACCCCCCTCAATCGTGAAAAAAGGTTGCTTAAAACGCACCTTCACTTGTGCGTCCCGAGATTGCAGTGTCTCTGTGTTCCTCTCTGCCCACAGCATCCTCGTGCCGTTCATCACCTGCCCCCGCATGTCCATGCAGCTCTTGGCTGCAAGGTGACTTCTAAGTCGACTCCATAGTCACCCACCCAGCCCAAACGCACCTTCACTTGTGCATCTCTCGCTAGCAGTGTCTCTGTGTTTCTCTCCGCCCACAGCATCCTCGTCCCTCTCATCATTCACACACACCATTATCCGTCCCCCCTTCCGCTTCCTCCCTTGGGCCTAAGGTAAGGTTGGTCAATACACACCTTCACTTGTGCATCTCGGGCTTCCAGTGTCTCTGTGTTTCTCTCCGCCCACAGCATTCTCGTGCTGTTCATCACCTGCCCCCGCATGTCCATGCAGCTCTTGGCTGCATCCCCGCTAGAGAACGCATTGTTATAGTGATAAGCCGAGAAGGTCATCACCATGGGGAGTCCGGAATACCGGCTGTTAACTAAGAACTTTCGGATGGTTAAGTGCGCGTCGTAGAGGGGAGCGTAGGGGCGTGGGAACGGGGGGAGTTGCTGGTTTTTCCGGTAGTAGACGCGGAGATTTGAAGGTGCCTGGATTGGGGAGGGCAAACGCAGGGGGTGTGGGAATGAACGAGAGCTTATTCTACACAAGCAAAAAAACATGTAATGAATCCACATAGTGTATGTACACTACAGGGACCTAACCCTTGATGGAAAAAATGAGAAAGACAATGCAGCTGTTACACTTGTGAATGACGTGCTTACGTTAATAACCAAGCAGTGAAGACAACAAAATTATTTACAGAAATATATGTGGGTGTACAAACACATCTAAATCACCGATCACCAGCGCTGAAGATAATGTAGTGGGTGTACCCCATATAATCCTAATACTCCACGAGCATACGAAGACAATACTCCACTTACATTGATAAACCAGTGACCAGCGCTGAAGATAACGTAGTGGGTGTGGGGCAGCAGATTGAACCAGCTCGGGTCCGGCCTGTCCAGATGCACCCTCCACGCGGCTGCACTGGACGCCACGCCCTGGAGGAGGGAAGAGGCACAGAAGGGGCGAGAGAACATAGTAATGCATGGGAACAAGGCCTGGTGGGTATGCTGCTCGGATCAGACCTATCCAGATGCACCCTCCACACACCTGCACTGGACGCCACGCCCTGAGGGAGTGCAGAATGGATAAAGGGGAGTGGTGAGTGTGTAGAGGAAGTGCAGATTGCGTGGAAGGAGTGGCGAGTGCGTAGAGAAAGTGGAGAGTGCGTAGAGGAAGTGGGGAGTGCGTAGAGGAAGCGGGGAGTGAGGAAGTGGGGAGTGAGGAAGAGGGGAATGTGTAGAGGAAGTGGGGAGTGAGGAAGTGGGGAATGAGAAAGTGGGGAATGTGTAGAGGAAGTGGGGAGTGAGGAAGTGGGGAATGTGTAGAGGGAGTGGGGAGTGAGGAAGTGGGGGGTGTCTGGAGGAAGGAAATGGGGCCAGATTAGAGAAACCTGCTGCTGCTATTCAGGCTGAGCCCTAGAAATAGCCGCACTCATTGCAGGGCTGAGAGGCGCACTCATTGCAGGGCTGAGAGGCGCACTCGTTGCAGGGCTGAGAGGTGCACTCACCACAAAGCTAAGAGCGCTAGCTCGACCCAATATACACCCACTACAGGGCTAATACCCCTAGGCTAAGCACTAAGGTGTACTTACCACAGGCAAGAGCTCTAGCTTAAGGCATTAAGAAGCACTCACCACAGGGCTGGATCGGACTAGGAAGTTGGAGGGCATGCGGAGGAAGGAGATGTTGAACTGGGGAATGATGAAGCCACGGGTTCGAACCCCCGTGCGGCCAAATTTTCCCCTGAAGTCCTGAAGGGATTCAGTGATAGTGGTGATGGCAGGGAAAGAGGATTGAGAAGCTCGGGGTCCGAATCCCCAAGTGGGCAAACGCGCTTTTCTAAAATGACAAATGCAAGAGCCTGCAATTTCAAGTCCATGAGGTTGGGAGAGGATCAGCTGGTGTGGAGATTCTGGTCACCAGGTGATCAGTGACAAAAGAAAGCCGGAGCGATCTTGAAGTGGGAAACAACTCTCTTCTCTAGCTGGCAGTGAAAGGAGGGAGAAGAGGAATCAGGAAACGTGAACAGCACATCAGAGGAGGAAGGAGAAGGTTGGAGGGCTTGGGCTGGGTGGAGTGACAAACCAGCGTAGTGGGCGTGATTCGAGCACTCTTGAACGTACCTTGGTAACTACTACGTACCTTCGTAACCGATTTTGTCTCAAGCAGGCAGCGCATGGAGATCTCGAGGTTGTTGACGAATGAGTCGCCAACAAACATGAACACCTTATTGCGCAGAATAGAGAGCGTTCTAACGGGGTTGAATCTGAAAAAGACGTTGTAGGGGCGGAGGAAGAGGGGAAGCAGGGAAAGAAACGACGGGAGCTGGTGGGAGCGAGGTAAACGATTCAGATAACCGGGAATCCTGTTGCCATTTGCGCTGACAAGAGTACTACTTGCCGGCAGCAACACAGTATCCTCTCAATATATAGCCCCTTGACAATTGTCACCTTCTTATATCACATCCAGGACTCCTCCACACGTATTTCAGGTACCCAGTGTCCTTCCTCCCGTTGCGCTGGCAATTGAACGTATACACACAAATGCGCTTGCACGTATACCCGCTATAAGCAGCACAGTGGAACCCTTGACGACTCTCACCTTCTTATATCGCAGCCAGGGCTCCTCCACACGTATTTCAGGTACCCAGTGTCGTTTCGCCCGTTGCGCTGACAGTTGTAATACGATCGGATGCTCTTGCACGTGTACCCGTTATAAGCAGGCTCGTACACCCTGTCGTACACCCAGCTGCGGAGGTTAGTAGACGAGCGGGCAGGGAGGTGCGAAGGTGAGTTCAGGTGAACAGTCAGATGAAGGTTTGATTGAAGTGTCAGTGAAGTTAAAGGAACGAGGAAACGAATGTAGAGAGGGGAAGAAAGAGGGGAAGAGGGATCGGGCAGGACACGGAAATGAGAAAGTCAGGGATGAGGGAGCGCGGGAGGGAGAGAGCGAGGGAGAGAGCGAGGGAGAGAGCGAGGGAGAGAGCGAGGGAGAGAGCGAGGGAGAGAGCGAGGGAGAGAGCGAGGGAGAGAGCGAGGGAGAGAGCGAGGGAGAAAGGAGAGAGGAAAGGTGTGTGTGTGTGTGTGTGTGTGTGTGTGTGTGTGTGTGTGTGTGTGTGTGTGTTTGGTTTCTCTCTCTCTTTTACTGAGGCAATTCTTCATGACTTATTTTATAAATTGCACTCATGAGGATGAGTGCGTGGTGAGGCTGACCTTCCTTGGTCGACTCTACATTGCTGACACGTGGCAGGAACGGATTGGCCGAGAAGGAGCAGCAGCGACAGCAATAACCCGCTGGAGAGCGCGACCGGCGATCTCGAAATAGCAGTAATAAGCGTCCCCGCTTCATGGCGTCTGTGATTATGTGCCATGGCCTCTAATGGAAGCTAGCGTCCTCCGCTTCTGCTTTTACAAAACCGGACTGCTGTATTCTGACGCGACAACCAAACTCCTTCAGAGTGCAAACTCGGACATGAAAGTGCCGCGAACAAAATTCAACTGCTCCCGGAGAACGTCGTATAGCTCCTTACATACGATTGCCAAGTTAGCAATCTATCGACTCTCCTCTCTGGATGTCGGTTTAACTCGACTAAATAATAACCTATAGATTAACCTGACGTGTCACAGCGTTCCGGCGGTGCCGTGCTCTCGCTAAAAATAATGCTGTGATAAGATCAGGAAGCGCATCACAAGTGCAAAAACGACGAGGGTCGCAAATAGATTCCTTCGTGACAACCTGAGGCTGATGAATGTTACTAATGCCTCTTGTCCAGCGCCCTGTCTTTGACCTACATGTACCTGACCAAAAGAAATCCATAGGAGGGACTAATGCGTACCCTTGTGAAGTTACGCATTCTGACAAATTCTCTAGGAGACATGAACAATGTCGGTGCTGAGGTCTGCTTGCGAGTTGTGTAAATTCTGGTTTCGAGCTTTGCTTGAACCCGTGAGCCGTTTTCGCGGGTCTTTCAACGGTCAGTTTCGCGACGCGGGGCCACAAATTTTTGTCGCATCTGAGACGGTGCGACTCGGCGAAGTTTAACGAAGTTGCCAAACCTCTAAGGCTCTGGGGCGAGTCTCGGAAACAAATCTCAATACCCTACCCAGCCAGTCAAAGTCTAGATGGACCGCTTTTGAACGCAAACCGCCTTATTGTGTCGCTCTGAAACGAATCATTGCGGAACAACTCATATGTTACCACCAGTCAGGTGGTCCGCCGACATTCTCGAAAGGAAATGGCACAGTGAGGATGTGGAGTTACAACGCGTACGGCTTCGCCTCCGGCTAAACACTGTCCAGTGAAGGTAGGCCCAACATTGAATGTTGGAATCTGAATTTGTACACGTAGTACAGCATTGAACGCGAAGCCACCAATACAAAACAGAACCAAGCCATTAGATGCAATTTACAAGAATAGCAGCGCACCATCGTGTTCGCTTATTGTCTAGACACGTGCTACTCTTCTTTAAACTCCTCAGCGTCCCACTTCAGGTTCCAAGAAGCAGACTTGACCATCGCTTGCGCACCTTCCATCTGCTTCAACTCTCGCCCACTCAGAACCGGTCGAACACCCACCGGCTCATCCGACTTACCCATCTCACCCCGATTTCCCTGACTCCCAAGACTAGACGTCCTCCCCTTGAGAGCCTTCGTTGCGTGTTGAATGCTCCCTTGTGTGTCACTCATCTTATCCCACTCTGCAGCAGTAAACACCCCCGCCACCTGCTCCTCCATCTCTTTCCGTCCCCTTACCTCCACCTGCTCCTCCTTCTCCGTCTTCCCTTTTTGTTCTCCCCTTCCCTCAAACTGCGACTGTTGCCTTGTCCCCATCCGCCTCGCCCGTTCCCGAAGCTTCTCAGCAGCTTCCGCAGCAGGGGACGAAGGAGCAGCAGAGAGATCAAGGCAAGGGGGGGTACGGGCAGCAGAGGCAGAAGCACCACCAGCAGCAGCAGCAGAAGCAACGGTGGGAGCAGGAGGGGAGAAGAAAGGGAGTTTCAGCCTAGGCCTTGCAGGCTTTTTCTTCTCAGTGGAGCCCTCAAGTCGGGGTGGTGAGCGGGGGGGAGGTGACACAAGGGAAGGTGAGACTGGGGCAGGCGAGACTGGGGAAGGTGGAGGGCTGTGTGGCAGCTCTCCTGCCTTCCCTCGGTCCCCTCCTATCCTCCTGGGCGGGGACAAAACCATCTCCCTCTCTTCCTCCACGCCTCCTTCTCCCTCCTCCCCCACTTCTACTCCCAGCTTTCCCCCCTTCCCCTTCCCCTTCCCCATCACAGGAGCTGGGCCTGAAATCAAAACCCCCTTAGCTTTTGCCTCGTGCTGCCTCTCCACCTCGCCCCAATCCGGCGCAATCATCTTCAGACCCTCCTGTCTCCTCTCCCTCCTCTGCCTGTCCTCCTCCTCCTCCTTATCCTTCTCAAATTGCTGTCCTTCTGCCTCTCCTCCTCTTTCTCCTCCTGCTCCTCCTCCTCTCCCTTCTCCAGCCTCCGAATCTGGGTTCAGGGATCCAATCCCAAGGCGATGCAGCTCATGCTCCACAGGGCCTTCCTCCCCCATGTGCTTGTACTGAAGGGACATATTGATGTGACTGCTTCGAGGGAAGGGGCCTGGAGCTAAATTCAACGGATTGTGTGCGGCAGAAGCAGCAGACGCCGCATCACCAGAAGCAGCAGCAGCAGGAGTATGTGGGGGTGGGTGGGAGAGCATTGCAGCCTCCCTCATCCCCGTTAGAGGCTGCTCCGTTACAAGCACAGCAGGCACCTCGTGGTGCAGCAGCAGAGTGTCGCTGGGGAGGCTGGCAGTGCGCTTGGGAGGCACGTGGCTGAGAGGAGAGGGCGGCGCGTCCACTGGAGGGCCTGGAAGGAGCATAATATGGGCGGGAAGGGACATGAGAAGTAAGAAACGAGGGAACGAGCAAGGGGGTGTCGATACGGGCGCTGGCTGTGCGCTGGCAGTGCACTTGGGAGGCTGGCGGCGGATGAGAGGTGACTGGATTGCCTTGAAGCTCACCTGGGGATGCACGCGCATGTGTCTGCTTCTCCCGCTGCTCCCGCTGCGGCCACAGCACGTTTCTCAGAGCGTCCTTCATGCGCCTCAGGGTCACCACTCCCGTTGAGCCTTCCACCCTCTCCGCCCTCCCCTCCACTGCTCGGGCCACTCCCCGCCCTTCTCCTCCTTCCCTCACCCCCTCACTGATTCCTTCGCCTTTCGTGCCTCCCTCCCTACCCGAAGCATTATCCTTAGCAGCAATCGCTACACCCTCTTCGCTCTTCTCACGCTCCTCATTCTCCTCACTCTCCTCCCCCTCCTCACTATCAGCAGATAAGCCCTCCCCTTCCTTCCCCACAGCTCCCCGTGACGGTTGCACCTCCCCTTCCGCATGCCTTCCCCTCTCTCCCGCACTGCTCCCCTCCCCCTCCATCCCCATCTCTCCCGCTGCCGCCCTCCCACCGCTATTCTCCGGTCCAAGATCAACGGCCGTCAGCGGCGCGCTGACACCAACGGCACGGATCTCCTCACCCGTCTCCCCTCCAACAACCCCCTTCCCCTCCCGTGACGCCACCTCACGCCCCTTTAGCGACCCCTCAACAGTTTTTCCCGACTCAATCTCAAGCCCACGCTCCTTTCCCGACTGACTATCCCGCCCCCTCCTCCTGAACAAAGACCGGGGAAGCATTAACCCGCTGCCATACCTCCGTTTACCAGACGGGGGGGCTTTAGACGAAAGAACCCCTCCCTCCCCCTCCGACGGCGTGTCTCCCTGTGTTCCTGCATCGGGGCTGTCACCAGGCGGGTCCGTGGTCTTACCAGCAGCAGCAGCAGTTGCAACAGCTTCCGGAGCCGCTATTGAGTCCTTAGTTATAGCAGACGACTCCGCTGAATCGACGGCAGGATGATGCTCTGACGATCTCCACGGGTCCTTGATTTTAGTTGACGATCCCGATGAATCGACGGCAGGATAAAGCTCCGAAGATCTCGGCGTCACCTTCGCCGCCGCAGCCGCCGGGCGGTTGGACGAATCGTCGCCAAGTCCAACAGATGGTCGGGCCTCAGGTGGTCCTTCAGATGATTTTTCAGGTGGTTCTGTCGCGGAAGCCGCAGGGTCGGGCCACAGATACTCCTTGGGGGTCATGGGCACGCCCGCCTTGAAGAAGATCTGCCGCAGCTCGCGAGGGCTATCTGACGGGGACTTGAGCGCTGGAACCGACTCAGAATCCATCCACACCGAAATACACCAGTTGAATCGGTGCTACTACCGATACTACTGTTTAGAATCAGTGATTATCAACGTGCTGCTAACGGGCAATAGTAGCAGGTCGATAAGCCAGCGAGACAAATCACCAGCAACCCGAATGGCTTCCGACGCCCCCAAAGTTCCCAGCCTTCCCGACGTACAAAACCTTCCAAGGCTAGTCAGAGTGGAGACACACCGTTGCGACCCCTTTTCACGCATCTATTACAACAGGGAATATTTCCTCGAGGTTACAAGCTCTTAAACCTTGCGAGCTGGCCTTTGGGATTAGTGGGTTATGGCGGTACGAAACGCGGCTTCGCGGCGTGCGGTATGGCTGTAAGGAAAACAGCTTCACGGCGTCCCCACTGATCGTTTGCAGCAACGGGAGAGTGACAGAACGCTGCCCCGCTTTGTGGCAGCCGCTGCCGCAAACTGATAACACCGCGCCAGTGTTCGGAGTGAGATGCAGCTGTGAGAGAATGATAGCCTGTGTGCCGCTGGCGGGGGGGGGGGGCATTCCGCTGGGATGAGAATTGAGCGCGCTGTGTGCCGCTGGTGGGAGCATTCTCCTGGGATGAGAATTTTGCGCGCAAAAGCGCCGCCGCCGCCCAGCAGGGGGTGCGACGGTCGTGTTGGAGGGTATGACATGATCGTGCGGTTCCGAATCGACGATCCGTACTCAGCGTTGTCAGCCATCGCGTCAAGGTGCATTCGTGTGCGGCCATGCCGAGTTCTGCGACGTGATTTCTGAGTCGATGAGCTGCCGTAAGCAGCAGTCGCGAAAACACAAAACCGCAGTTGGTGAGAATGCACGGTCCTTGCATGCCGAGTTTTACGAGGTGAAATTTGAATAAACTCAACACAATTGCCAAGACTACCGTAGCTGCAGCAACCATGCCAGGTTTCTGACGTACGAGTTCCGTCAACTCAAAGGACACTCGCCGCCAGCTCAATACAAATTTGGCCTGAAACTGAAATGTACGAGCGAGCCGCATGCATTCAAACCAATGTTGATGTCTTCGAGGCGCAGATCCCGATTCCGCCCTGAATTTTGCACCGCATTTCGTCGCTGTAAATTTTGGACACGTGTTGCAGAGACCGCAGTTACCGTTCGAATCTTTCCGACAGGTGTATCCGCTACTGACAACCTCGTTCCTCCAAAACAATATGACTGAGGCATACAAAATCAATAATTCGAATGGATTCCATCAGTATCACTTGCAATATACATGGTGGGATAACAAGGATTGAAGTTTGTGGACTGAAAACCAAAAGCGTTCAACGTAAATCTCATTATTAAAACATCTGGAAAGCCTTCAAGAAATGTCTTCAGTGACCACCAGCTCCATGTGATGCTTCTTGTGGTTCCTCAGGTACTCCCAATATCCGACGGGTTGCCTCCGCTCTGAAATGCACAGAAACGAGGGTTTCAATCAAATGTTAGGCCGTGACAGACCACACCACATGCACTTGTTGGTAGAGACACTCGTTCCACAGTCAGCTTATGAAGCGTAACAATCCATATCATCGTAATACCCACATATCGATCGACACCTCACCGACAGAGAGCAGTAACAATCCATGTGCTTTCAGGAAGTCCTCAGCATCCCCACAATGCTAGCATTTTTTACCAGACCTCTAAGGCACACAAGGCACATCCATAAAAGAGGGGATGAGACAGGGTATCATAGCCCCACGCACATTATACATCCGCAAAAGAAAGCAATACCGTACCCACACATGCACGTAGCACATCCCCATGCCACGTAGTTAGATACCAGAACTCCCCACTCACTGGCATGTGTCACCAGCTTCCTCCCACGGGCCTACCACCACTTGCCAGACTTACCTCACACGTGGTACTTTCATGCGGTTGAGGTAAACCACCTCAAATGCACCAGTTTCTTCCACAGCGCAAGCAATAATCCAACTCACTGGCATGTGGCGCGGATAGCCGATGCCTCCAGCACGCCCACCAGCTTCCTCCCCCGGTCCTGCCGCTACTTACCAGGGCGCCTCACGAGGCTTCACTCACACATGATACTTGTGTAGTTCTGAGGGGAAACCACTAAAAGTTGTCCACAGCACAAGCGCAACTCACTGGCATGTGGCGCGAATAGCCGATGCCTCGAGCACACCCACGAGCTTCCTCCCCAGGTCCTGCCACCACTTGCTGGGCTTCCCACACCCGCCGTGGGGTACCATTGGCAACTTGCTGATACCATGTGATCACATGTAACATCCATAAAGCAAGCATGACTCACTGGCATGTGGCGCTGATAGCCGACGCTTCCAGCACGCCAACGAGCTTCCTCCCCCGGTCCTGCCACCGCTTGCCAGACCGAGACACCACAGAGCTAGGATACATGCAAGCACTATCAGCAACTAGCCCACACTGTCATGCGCAACCAACTCACTGGCATGTGGCGCGGATAGCCGATGCTTCCAGCACGCCAACGAGCTTTCGCCCGCGGTCCTGCCACCGCTTGCCGGACCGAGACACCACCGGAAGCACCGTGAGGTTCCTCGGCAGCATTAGGTGGCGGGCGGCACGCAGCTTCTGGTCTGGGAAGCACACGACGAGGTCGGAGTCCCCGTGGGCTGTGGTGCCGGTGCACACCGCTCCCACCAGCATCTCGTGCACCTGAGGGGGCCGACAAAGGGGGTGACGAAGGGGCAAAAGAGTGTGTAGAGGGTAGGCAGGACAGGCATAACAGCCAATGCCTCCATGGGCTTTGGTGCCAGTGCAAACTGCTCCCACCAGCATCTCATGCACCTGGGGGTGCGTGAAGAAAGGGGAGGGAGGGAGAGAATGGGGCAGGAAGTGGCAGAAGCAAGCAGGTCTGGGAAGCACATGGCAAGGGTCCATGGGCTGTGGTGCCAGTGCACACCACTCCCACCAGCATCTCATGCACCTGGGTGTGCGTAAGCGGGAGGTGGGGGGGTGGGTTGGGGACGAGACAATGGGGCAGGAGGCAGGCAGACGCAGGCAAGACTGCAAAGCAGACAGCACAGAGTCTCCGTGGGGCTGTGGTGCCAGTGCACACCGCTCCCACCAGCATCTCATGCACCTGGGGGCAAAAGAGGGGTGGAAAGGGAAGGAGGGAGGGGTGAAACGGGGGTGAAAGGGTGGTGAAAGAGGTGAAAGGGAGGAAACGAGGGGCAGGGAAACACAAAAGATAAATTGCCCACACTAGACAAAGTAACACAGCACATATACACAATAGTCGTGCGCACACAAAAGCAACAAGGGAGCGCAGAAGAAACAAGGGAGGGCATAAGCAACAAGGGAGGGCGGAAGCAACAAGTGAGAGCGGAAGCAACAAGGGAGGGAGGAAGCAACAAGTGAGAGCAGAAGCAACAAGGGAGGGCATAAGCAACAAGGGAGGGCGGAAGCAACAAGGGAGGGCGGAAGCAACAAGGGAGGGCAACTCACCTCAACGCCTACAGGAGCCAGTTCAGAGGCAGCGACCGAAGCTCTGTGTGATAATGCCCTCTCCAACCCTCCCATTCCTCCCATTCCTCCCACTCCTCCAACAGGCATAAGCCCTACCGACACTGCCGAACCTCTATGACTCCCACCTCCTCCTCCTCCCCCTCCTCCCGAACCACCAACTACTCCACCCGCAACCGAGCTTCGCGCCGAGCCTCCAGGTCCGGCGATCGCCGAGCCTCGGTGGCTGGCCGTGCCGGCCGCGCTGATAATGGAGGATCGGCGAAGCTCCCGGTGCACGTCAGTGAGAGAGAGTGTGCCTTCTAGCAGCCCCTCTGCGTCCACCACCATGGCACAGTCTGAGCGGCCTTCAAGGAGGGCCAGCACAGCCTCTCTTACAGTGGCGTCTGCCCGCACTGACACAAAGGTGGTGCTCATTGCTGCAGCCACCTGGGGGTGAAGAGGTGAAAGGGGCAGGGAACGAATGGGTGTTATTAGCCCAGAGTGCCTTCCAGCAGCCCCTCTGCGTCCACCACCATGGCACAGTCTGAGCGGCCTTCAAGGAGGGCCAGCACGGCCTCCCTCACTGTTGCATCGGCTCGTACCGAGACGAAGGTGGTGCTCATTGCTGCAGCCACCTGTGGAGAAGGAGAGGGAGGGGAAGGGACAGGAGGAAAGGAAGAAGGGGGTGAGGGAGGGATGAAGGAAGGGGCGTCTGCTCGCACTGACACAAAGGTGGTGCTCATTGCTGCAGCCACCTAAGCGGGTGGACCGAGGGAGGAGGGGAGAGGGGTTGAGGGGAAGAGAGGAGGGGTGATAATGGGTGTGCGCCCAATGTCCACAGTCTGTCCACACTCAGAGCTGCCTCCACACCCCCTGCAAACCCCTCCACCGCAACCAACTCCATCCCACCGCTCGCTCACCTTGAGTTCGTCCAGCAGTCTATCGACGCTCAAAGCCGCCTCCACACCCCCCGCAAACCCCTCAACCGCACACAACTCCATTTCCTCCGCACCACTCCCGCCACCAGTACTGCTACCACCACTTCCCCTATGCCACGAGATAGACGAAGACGCCCTGAGCTGCGTCGGGGACAGCGGCGGCCCCCCGAAATGCGTCGAGTGGTGGTGCTCATGCAAAAGGGCTAGATTCTGCTGGTGAGAAGTGTGGCCGTTCATGGCAGTGCCAAGGGGTGAGTAGAGTGTGAGGGCTGAGTCGCCGTGCCCGCCGGCTGCAGCAAAGGCTGCGGCAGAGCCGGGGGCGAGCTTGGCGTGCGAGAGAACGGGCTTCTTGCGATTGGCTACTGATGAGACCCAGTAGGCCAGCCCCACTGCGCCCTGTGCACAGTAGAGGGAGGGAGGGAGGTAAGGAGGGGGAAGGAGAAGGGAAGAAGGCCGGGAAGAGAAGGTTTGAGAAGACAGGGCAATGGAGAGCAGGGCAGAAGCTTCAGGGGGGAGCTTGGGTAGAGAGTGAGGGCTGAGGTGCTGTGACTACCGAGACCGCATGGAATGGAGCAAGACTCGTACCATGAGAGGCAGCAGGATACGGTAGTCCTTAGTGAGCTCGAAGAGCAGGAGCACACACAGATGTTACTACGGAGTCAGCATGAAAGGAAGGAAAAAGGACGCATACCATGAGCGGCAGCAGGATGCGGTAGTCCTTAGTGAGCTCGAAGAGGAGCAAGACGGATGTGAGAGGCACAGAGCACACAGAGGCGAGCATTGCTGCCATGCCCACCTGGTAGAGGGGGGGTGTTACAAGGAATTGGTCGTAGGTAAGCTTAGCAAATGAGAAAGGTGAAGCGGGAAAGAAGGGGCAACAGGGGTAAATGCCTCATGAAACTCGAATCATCCAATACCCCATACATACTGGTTTCAGCAATCCATCCATCCATCCATACAAGCAGGTTCTAATATTCCATACAATCAGGTATTAAATACAGCTACGCCCTCTGACCTCTCTACTTACCTGAAAACACGCTTGTGGAGCAGCAATCTCCACCTCAGCTTTAACAGCCAAGTCAACAGATCATCTCATGCTATCCCCCCATCTCACACATAACATACCACATCATTACCTCTCACCCTAAACAGCTCAAGCATACGCCTGTGGAGAAGCAACCTCAACCCCTCCTTCCTCACCCATACCGCATCACACTATACCCTTTACTCACCATCAACAACTCACCAGAGCATATGCCTGTGGAGCCGCGACCTCCGCCTTCCCAGGAATGGCAGCCTGGATAGCCGCACCCGCCAGCGACCCATACACCGAGCCTACCGCCGAACCTATGAACAGGCTCGGGGCGTAGATCCCCCCAACCAAGCCCGAGCCTCTGCAGAGAGCCGTGGCAACGATCTTTGCTGCTATCAGCTGAGTCATGAGCTTCGGACCAGGGGCGGAAGCACTCTCTCTCGAATGCAAAATCTCATTCACGTTACTAAAACCCCAGTACAAGACGCCAGGGTACTGTAGCGCTATGAACCCCACACACAGGCCGCCCAATGCCGGCGTGACAGCTGGCGGGATCCCGAGCCGGTCCCGCAGAAAGTCGAAAAAGGCTGTGGACCACTTGATTAATCGGGTAAATATCACCGAAATAACCCCGCAAACCATCCCCAGGAGCAGGTACAGTGGCAACTCAGCAGCAGATTTTAGCTCGTACTCAGGTACAGTAAACGCAGGCTCTTCACCCAGAACAACGTTAGAGACTGTAGAGGAGAGCACTGAAGCGAGGATGATCATGGCAGTGGTTAGCGGCGGCGCGTTCTCCGAAGCAACTGACTGTAGCACCGTTTCAATGGCAAAAAAACACCCTGCTACAGCAGCATTGAAGCCAGACGAAATTCCTGCAGCAGCACCAGCAGCCACCAGTGCTGTTTTCCTCTCGTGCGTGTTCATTAGAATCTCTGCCATCCCATCCGCCCAGGCCTTGCCAATGTCCACACTAGGTCCTTCTGGACCCAGAGAGGAGCCTGTGCCTAGGGTTACTGCTGCTTGAATGGCTCGAATTACGGGTGTAAAAGCCGCTCCCCAGTCTATTCCCCTTTGCTGCTCCAGACGTAGGGTTGCCCCGCGGTTCTGGCCCTGGGCTTGGGATGGGCTTTGGCTTTGTTCTATAATGCCGCCGAGGGCGTGTAGCATGCCTACAACGACTCCGCCCATAACGGGGATGAGCATGATGCGGTGCCAAGTGGTGGTGATGGGTTGCACGCGCAGCCACGCCGCTCCCTCTGCTGGTGTGCCGGCCCATGCTAGGTTGTGGATTCCGTGAACCTGGACAGGTTGAGCAAGGAGAAGGATCAAAAGGAGAAACAACTTGACTGTCGAGGCGATTGGAAAGCAAGCCACTCCCTCTTCTGGTGTACCGGCCAGGCGAGATTGTGGACTTGGCGAATTTTGTCGGGTGGTGAGGAGGGAGAGTGGTTAAAAGGCGCATGGAAATCAGGCAGACGGAAGGGAGGAAACAGGATTTCACTGAAGGAAAACAGGAAGGAAATCTGACAGCATAAAAGTAAGTACGCATACGGCAGAACATAGGCATATACGGCAGAACGTATCTGTCAAAAAGCTTACCGCCAAGTTGAAAAGGACTACACTGGCTCCTGTGGCGAGGCCGAGAGCACATCCAAGCAGCAGCACGGCCCATTCAGGCGGAACCCGCTCACTGAAATTCATGCTACGCGGAGAGAGCAGCGCGGTGGGTGACGCGGGAGACACCATCACTGCAGATTCGATCTTATCTGATGCCAGTTCCACGTCACCGCCAGCCAATGGGGATTCGCCGTTGTTCCCCCCCGCGCCGTTGCGCAGAAGCGGTCGGTAGTCGTTGGCGCTCATCCTGCGGGTTACCGCCGTCGCCAGGGCCGCGCGTCAGTCGCGAGATCGATGGCGCGTTCAAGTTCGACGGCTGTAATTATCTCGATCTTCCGACGGAAGCATGTATAGAGCAGCTAGATAGGAGGACACCAGGACGAAGCTAGTCAGCAGTTTCGCTGAGATTCATGAACTGGATTGAGTTTATGCTACCGTAGATAGGTTTGCATGAAAATGTTATCCAAACCTTACACCTGGGCTGTACTGCAATCGCCAAGCGTATACGAACGAGCCCCTGATGATGATAAGAAAAATCTGGACGTTATGATACCCACGATTATGACTGACTCCTCACCGCATACGCCAGCAATGATGATAAGGACGATATACTAACGGTTACATGCCGTAGATTCCTAGGGTTACAACGACGTGGATTCTTAGGGCTACAGCATGACGTGAATAGCGCTCGACGACCTCTCTTGCTTGTGAAGGTAAGTTCCTTGCTACGCTCCTTTCTTCGAGATTCACACCACTCGCCGTAGCCAGGAACCACTGGAATCCGAGGGTGAACGAAGAAAAAACTAGCCGAGAACAGGCTCTGAAGCACAGAACGAGTGGTAATCTGTGAAGGAAGCGTCGAATCCCGAGGAGCTGCTAATCCCGTCCCGTGAAAACCAGCTTGAGCAGTACGGAATTCCTGAAAGTGCCCAAAAGCGGTACGACCACCACTGTCTGGCTGAAATGGTGCAGAGCGGAACTGAGAGCACAGCACAAGCGGGGACAGGCAACCAACCCCATGATTCTGTTCGATGAGTGCTCTAACAAGAAAGATGAGTGCTCTATCAAGAAAGCACTTTCACTAGGCAAGATTCTGTTTGGCGGAGAATGGTTAAAAGAGATTTAAAACGTTTGTGCGAGGTCTGAGGGAATTGAGCTCTGCCACCCCCATTTTCAAGGTTGCGGCAACTTCCGGGAGCGGGAACCTGCGAAACGGGTTGAACGAAAAGCACCGTTGAGCCGTTCATTTGGCCCTGTCTGGAAGATATTGTTTTGCAATCCAACGGCGCTGACAGCCCCAACTTCAGATGGTTGTTCCAGAGAATGTCGCTGCCGAAACGACCGGCACGATACTCGTCAGGGAATGGCGAACGCTGAGACGATAGAAGCATTTCGGTAACGAGTCAGAAAACTGGTTGTACTCATCCTTAAGTACCTGTATTAACAATGTATGTTCAGGGGTGAAGAAATGGTCTGCATAATTTGAGGAATTAAAATTTCAAAGATAATGATTTTGATTTTTTACCAGTTGTTTGTGAGAATAGTATGAAGGTATGTGTCGATTAGGGCAAGGAGGGGGATACAAAGGAAGTGTCGAGCAAAATCCTGTACCCCCTAAGACTAAACCCACTACAGCCTAGATAACATTAAACATATAATTTGACACACCCCCATAGGCGAAGTGGGGGATAGCCAACACAAGAAACGGTCACAAGACCAGTCAAGAGAAGAAACAAAGCAAAAACACGCTCAGGGTGGATCACAACGTCACCACGCATTCTGAGCACAAGCAAATGGCCACAAGGACAGTTCACATGCAGAGTTATATATCAAGGTGAACAAGCACGGCAGTGATCTCAACCTAGCAAGGGTAAGCATGCAGGTGCAGGTATATATAGATCACAGTATAAGCAAAGTCAAGAACTGAGCAAGTGAGGCCAAGTAGGAACAAGACCTAGTATCGTACAAAAGCGCTGATGATCACAAGGCTGAAGTGCCTTGGTGAAGATATCAGCGGTGTTGGCCCGAGAGGCCACGTAAGCAAGGCGCAGCTGACCACCCTGCTGCACTAACGAGCAAGGAAGTAGCGAAGAGCAATGTGCTTCGTTCTGTGCTCCAGTCTGTGCTCCCGACACAAGGCCAGCATGGCCTTGTTGTCTACGTACAGAACTGGAGGAGAACGAGGCGGCTCTCCCAGGTCAGTCAGCAGGTAGGTGAGCCAGCGTAGCTCCTGTGCAGCCATGGCTCCAGCGTAGATCTCAGCCTCACAACTGGAGCTGAGAACAGAAGAAGAGCGGGTAGACCGCCAAGAGACAGAACCGGAGCCAATACTGAAGGTGTAACCCTGTGACGACCGCTACGTAGCCAAGTCGTCAACCCAGGAGGCGTCAGCGTGACCAGTGAGGACAACTCGAGACCATCCTCCAAGCACGAGCCCCATGCCCGATGTACTGCACAAGTATCGCAACACCCTCTTTGCAGCATCCCAGTGCACCTTTCGGTGCCTGCCGGGAGCCACGTAGCGAGCCAGAAGGCTGAGAGGGTATGCGAGGTCAGGTCGTGTGCAAGTCATCAGGTACATGAGGCAGCCCACAAGCTCTGGATACAGGCCACTCGGCTCTACGGACTCGTCCGAAGGTGGAGCTGAGAGCGAGTGACCGATAGCAGAGGAGTGGACTGTGGCGAGGAGTACGTGAAGCCGAAGCGCTGAAGGACCTGCTGCACCATGTGTGACTGAGTCAAGGTAATGGTGCGCTGTGCTCTGTCCCGGGTGATCCGCAAGCCAAGATAGTTTGTCAGCCCACCCACGTCTATGCACGTGTGTCTCTTCTGCAGCTCGGACTTCACGTGGGCGAGTGCCTCAGTGTCAGCAGTAGCAAAGACGAGGTCGTCTACGTACACGAGAACGTAGAACGGCGGAAGAGTAGTGTCAGTGCGTAAGAACAGAGAAGGGTCAGAAGAGGAAGGAGCAAAACCAAGAGCAGCAAGAGTCGTCCTGAGTGTGTCGTGCCACTCACGAGGTGCCTGACGGAGACCGTAGAGTGGCCGCCGGACGCTCCACTGGGTACCAGATGGAAACGACCCAGTGAAGCCAGGTGGGCGGCGCAGCCAGATCTCCTCGTGCAGGCTGCCCTGTAGGAAGGCTGTGCTGAATTCAAGCGAGTGGAGCTCGTAGTCACGCTGAGCAGCTACGTGCAGCAGTACCCGAAGAGTGGTCATCTTCGGGGTAGGGGAGAAGGTCTAGAAGAAGTCAACTCCCTGTCGCTGACTGAAGCCACGTGCAACGTAACGCGCCTTGAAGACAGGCGGAGAACCCGGCGACCGCTTCACCCTGAAGATCCACATGCCACTGACGATGTTCGCCCCAGGTGGGGGAACCTCGTCGACGTAGGTGCCTGTGGACTTCCAGGAAGCCATCTCGGCGTCCATGGCTGCCTGCCACTGAGAGGAGTATGGACCCTCTATCGCCTCTGCGTAAGAGCGCGGGGTCGGGATGTCTGGTGCATCCGGGTCTCCCTCAGGGGCAAGCAGCATGGACACGAGATGAGGTACAGAAGCAGCAAAGCACTCAAACTCCTCCTGTCTGTCCTCAAGAACGTCCGTGCCAAGAGCACACTCACCCCCGACGGACGGAGGACAGACAGACACAGACGCAGACTCAGCAACAAGACTAGCGGCGTAGTCTAGGCGACAGGCTGCAGCAAAGCCAACAAGCTTAGTAACAAGAGCAGACGCAGCAGTGGACTCAACCAAAGGGTCAGTGACAGCAGTGGCCAGAAAACGCGTGA